AATTCCACGAGATCTGCTACTTGCGTTTAATGTAGAACGGCCTTTGAGTTCCACTTTTGTGGAAATACGGCTAAAACCAGCGGCTGAAACCGTCGTAAAAAATTACAATAGGATGGCCGCTCTCAGGTTTCTCTCTGGTTGTAGGCCGTAATATTAAGAAATTGACCAATCACAGACAAAGTACAGAAGAATAATCGATTGTGATTTGTCAATTTCTTACTGTTACGGCCTACAACTCTCCATTGTAGACGGCTCTTAAAGTCGTAAACAATTTAACCAACTACAGACCAGTATTAGCTAGAATATTGGCCTGTGATTGGTTGATTTACTTACGACCTTACGATTACGACTAAACTTTTGTCACGTGCAATGCTCTTAAGACCGTTCTATATAAAGACCTATCTACATAAAGGGCCGTCTACAATGGAGAGTTGTAGGCCGTAACAGTAAGAAATTGACCAATCACAATCGATTATTCTTCTGTACTTTGTCTGTGATTGGTCAATTTCTTACTATTACGGCCTACAACTCTCTATTGTAGACGGCCCTTAAGACGCAGATACGGGTCGCAAGTCGCAGGTCTTGCGCACAGACTTCTATATACTACACTAGACCGCTAACTCGCGTGATTTCAGCGTAGATAATGGCTACAAAATCTATGTACAATGGGGGTACTGTGGAATGCGGGTTTCATTGGTTGATTTTGACGATAAGGAGAGTTCATCCAATCATTGTCTATATACTTATGTACGTGCGCNACGATGCATGCGCAGATAGCAATTCAGCAGTTCAGCATAGTAAAGGTTATATGGCGGTTGACGGCATAAAGCACACATTAAAAGAAACGAAAACCAATATGCCAAAATATTGTTATGTTTTTGGCTGCCAAAATAAGGCAGACAAAGAAAAAAACCTTACAACTCAATCAGCTGTCAAACATGACGGCCATCTTGCATTCTTCAGTACCCCCATCTTCCCTCTCCATGACGACTTAAGTACATAGATTTTGTAGTCAGCCGTACATAAGAAGCTAGCGGTCTAGTATACTATAAAAGTCTGTGGTCTTGCGGAATTGACCAATCACATTGATCAAATCAGTAAATCAGCCAACGTGATTGGTCAATTCCGCGAGACCTGCTACTTGCGTTTGCGTCTTGCTTAATGTAGAACAGGCTTTAGAACTTACTACCAGAGCGCTCTTAACACGCCAAAAACCCTCCAATCATAGTTTTGTACCGTTATTCCGGAAATATTTGAATGGGGACTTTGAATTTTGAACGTCTAACTCGTAAATTACCTTAATTTGCGAGTGTAATGACTCGCTAAACTACCGAGCTTCCACTGGAGAGCTTATCGCGTTGACAACCTCGATCACACAAAAGAAAAAGAAAAAGAGAGAAAAACGGACGCAATGAAGACTGTAAAAGATCTCACGCACGGTTTTTAGTCTTAGTCAGACCAAATTGAAAGACTGTAAGAAAAGTCTCAGGGCGATGTCCCATTGAGCGGAAATCTATAGCGGAACGGAATGTGCGGAACCAGCTCGACCAATCATAGCCATTCCGTTTTCTTTCCTTCGCTTTTTCTGTGGTTACGATTGGTCGAGCTGGTTCCGCACATTCCGTTCCGCTATAGATTTCCGCTCAATGGGACGTCGGCCTCAGACTGGCTTTTGCTCCTCACGTGCAGGGGCGTGCGCCATAGAAGCAAAGAAGAAGAAGATGAAAGACTGTAAGGATGCAAAAGATGATGAATGAGATAATGATACAAAAAAGCGCACAAACTTTTCATTTTAAAGAAGTTATTGCACAAAGGTCATTATGATGTCATTTTGACTTTACTACTCTGACTCTTTGACAAAGTAATGATCTTTTGAGGTCAAAGTGACGTCATTTTGACTTTTTTGTGACTTTTTGTTCTCCTTGGCTGCGTTCAGAAATTTACTCGTCGGGTAGAGTAGAGTTGAACGTGGTAAAACATAAAACTCTACTCAGAGTAGCATTTAGGAAGTGACTTTCCGAACGAAGAATAGAGTAAATAACAATGGCAGATCAGAATCGGAAAAATCAGATATTTTTGATAGTAACACTTGTAACATGTAATCATAAATTACTGTTACATATGTTGCGTGACGTCCCGCAATTGGCTCGACACATGCAACAGTTTTAATGTTTTCCATTATAATCTGTTTTTATTGCTTCGTCACTTTGCGCCAAAATAGGCTGCGTTCCGATATTCATTACCAGAACTCGAAATCTATAACACATGTGATGTGAAATATACATTTTTAATACTGGGAGTGATAATCGGAACGCAACCATAGTACGGGTTATTTATTAACCACAGAAAATCCAAAGGTTAAAAAAATACTCTTAGAGTTAACTCTAATGTGATTACTCGATATTTTCGAACGCCACTAGTGTGTTAATTTTGGCTAACCCAAGTTAATTTCTGAACGGCAGCGAGTAACTTTTTAACCCAGAGTTGAATTTCTGAACGCAGCCCTTGGGATGTAAAAGTAAACTCTGCAATATATATAATAAAATAAAATAGCAATAGTAACTGGACAAAAGAAAATTGTTTACTAATTTTTATATAAAACCAACAACTGTTCATGTATTTCTATATAAAACCAACAATTTATTCATATTTTTTAAATATGCAAGATACTTCAACTTTTAATAAATAAACTTTTTAAAAATATATAGATATCTAAGACATGAAAACAAACTCATGCACTTGCGTTAATTCATAAATCTTTTTACATTTGATCAGATATGATTGAGTTTCGAGTGCAAAAAAATTATAAACTTACAATTTAGCAACAAGTCTGTTTTCATCTCTCTCCGATGTCTATATATTGTTAAATTTTATCTATTAAATTTGAAACATTTTGCATATTTGTGCAATGTTTGAATATTACAAATACATTGCACTGTAACATTATTGTAGTCTTGCATTGTAATATTTTTGAAGGCAGACATTTCAACGTTGCCGTAAGCCTGCAATAACATTGCAGAAATATTTTGCAACTATTACGCAATATTACAAATGTTTCACTGTAAAATTATACAATATTACTGCAATATGTCGGTGCTGTATGGAATAACTATCAGTAATAATTTTTATTATGCCATTCTTTTGTTAAGAAAACAATAAATATATAATATTACAATATATACGTGTCATACAAAGATATAATTCTATGCAGCGATCTTGGCCAATGTGTCAGCGTATTGGAACTCCGAACTGTTTTCGTAATCACACATGTCCAGAGCAATGATGCAACTTTCGCGGACGACTCTTTTACTGTCATTGAGATACTTGTGCAATATCTCGTAGCATTCGGGAGTGGCGATGGAGCCTAATGCCTCTGCACACTCGTGCCTGACCATCTCATTTTCTTCTGTATTTTCCAATGATGCTTGTAATCCTGGCACAGATATCTTTTCTTGAAGTTGTCCTAGCACAAATGCTATTTCGTGTCTGAACAAAGCACTGCCAGCTCTTAAGCCTTCGACAAGAGCAAGAATGCTATCTGCAGTGCCTAAATTTCTTAGAGAAAACATTGCTCTATATCTATCAAACAATGACTTCTTTTCATTCAATAAAATTTCCCTTAAAATATTTACATCTGTTATTTCTGTTGGTGGTGCGGGATCAATAGTTAGAAATAAATTGTTTTGCAAATTCTTTGTATTTTTTGTAGACTGCAGCCATCTCAATCGACTCATCGCTAACTCACAAGTCTCTGCTACTTCAGGTATTGGATCTTTACAGTATTTTTCTAACAATGGAATTACACTTAATTCACCAATAGCACCCAGTGCTTCTCCTAATGAGAGAATATATAAATGTTTAATGTCTATTTTGTTTTGACTGTTGAAAATTAGACAGAGGACTTTTATAGAACACATACCTGCTTCATGACGTACCATTGGTTCCTGTGACAAATCTTCAAGGACGCTGGTTAAAATATCAATAGCAGCAGGATCTTGCATCTGACCTAAGCAATATGCAAGTTCATGCTTCAACAATGCTGACGAATCTTCGAAGCAAGCACGAATTTGATCTATTGCAATAAGACCGCCAATGTTTTTTAGAGTAAATAGAGCACGGAATCTTTCCTTCAGCGGTCTAGTAGGATCATTCAAAACCTTGCCTATCCTTAAAATATCACTTTCATTTGCCTGTATCATTTTTGTTTTCAACTTTATATGCTAATTAAGTCAAAATCTCCTGAATAGAAAACAAAAGTGTATGAATCTCAAACCTGTAAAATAATATTATATGTTTAAAAAATATCATCAAACATAAATGTAAATATACAAATATTAATATAATCTATACGCTTTTTATAATCACATAAAACCAAAGATATTTTTAACAAAAAATAAATATTGATAAACTTTAAAAAAGGTTTTTAGTTAAAGCACCATGTTATCAAACAATTAGTTTGGTCACCTTTGATGTAAATTAAATCGAGTGATTAACTCACAATATTGAGCGATTCTCAAATTAATCAATCAGTTGACTTAAGTTCAAATTCATAATTTACAAGTTTGTTGATTTGGATTTTTTACTGCTTTTGAAACTTTGAAAGAAAGTCCGCCACTATGTCAAAAAGAGTATTGAACTTACTTAAAGTTGTCTACAGCAAGAAACAAGGTTCTTCTACTTCTTTACTTATATGGCGCATGAAGAGAAGAACAAAAGCCAGTCTGTAAGAAACAAGGTTGGTTTACAACCAATTTTTTCACTTCTAGATAAGTTTTCGATAACTTTGGGTACTTTCCAACTACGTACACAGGCGACACTGGTCTAGTTTCCACCGAAACATTAATTCACACCTACTGCGGCGTTGAATCAAATTTAAGTCGATGGAAACACGTCAAATTGCNCTCAATTCACTTTTGCTTCGATCTATAAGTTTTACCGGAGTGGCAGCAAATTGACATACAATTTTAATCGGTGGAAACGTTTGAAACTAAATAATGCCAACCTCTATTTTTCATTATGTCTGCATTATGTCGGGTCTTGTTAAGAAGTCGATGCAAGTTGAAAATAAAAAGATACAATATATGATTGAATCATTTCCGCGGAGTCAATTAGAAGTTTCTCGGATTATATTCTTTTCAGGTTATGTCTGTTTATATTTACACAAACGAGTTTTAAATTGGCTCTACTGAAATATTAATTTTTCTTACTTCTATTCTACTTCCAATGGAAACGGAACACTAAATTTGATCTGTACCGGAGTGGAACCGAATTGAGGATTTCGGTGGAAACTAGACCACTGTGTAACACAGTGTCCATTAATGTGAGAAAGAGCATATCAGTGTGTCTCACTCACACTAATGGACACTGTGTAACCAGAGAGAAGCCTGAGAGCGGCCACGGCCATAAGAGTTTCTGTCATAGCAAAATCGCCCCGTACACTAGCAAATGTCCACGGGTGGTGCACATTGGAACTACGCAGACATGTCCACGAGCGACTTGTCGATACGTATGGCTATGTCCACGCATGGACATGGTTTTATTCCGTGCTATGTGCTGTGGACATGGTTCTATTTCGTGCTATGTGCGGTGGACATGGTTCTATTTCGTGCTATGTGCGGTGGACATGGTTCTATTTCGTGCTATGTACACGTCGGTATACAAGTCGGTACAGACTTGTCGCGTATGATAACGTGAAATGCGCTTTCTCAAGATATACAGAGTTGGAGTTGTTCCACTTTCAGATAAAATATCGGACAGTTTATCTAATAATTAATTATCATTTATTTTTCCACGTTATTTATCCCATGATATCTCAATTGTAAATAGAAAATGTTACAATGAAAACCACGGAACGAATCATTTGTGAATTAAAAAGAAAAAACATTTAATNAAACTTATAGTTCAATTTCGAATTTTGTAGAGTATTAATAGAGAAATAATAGANAAAAAATGATTACCTGACATTGTTCTCATAGATCTCAATCAAAGTACTTACAAAAGAAAAAAGATTAATGTGAGAAAGAACTTGCAAATATATATCTATATATATTAATATTTTATATAATTTGAATCTACATATACAAATATATAGAGAATATA